TTGCGGATTGAAGGGTCTAGGGAAGACTAGAATTCACTTCAAACGCATAACATATGGACATGTAAGATTGGATGAGGGCTGGTTCTCACCGGCATACCCCCACGTGGGAAGATTGGGTTGGCTAGGTCAACCTAATGATTAGAGAATGGCACATTAAAAAACTTAAAACCTGGAAGAGGGGCCCTGGAAGAAGGGTGTTGCCTGGAAGAGGGCTGAACCTTGGAGAGGGTTCGCGATCATAGGACATGGTCAAAATCTCCGAAGAAAGTTCGGGTCTTGATGTTGAGACTTGATGATTCCAAAACCGTTTCGGATTATTCGTTCGAAATTTGAGCAAGGTTCCTGTTAGGCATGACACCCAGGCCAGAGGGGGGAAAGAAGGTGGCATGGTCAAAAGTGACCGGTCACTTTTTGATGTTCTGGATTGACAAGAAAATGCAAATGGGAAAAAATTAAAATTTGACCGGTCAACTTTGAGAAAAGTGACCGGTCACTTTTTAGTTGGCGGATTTGATGAAATCAGACAAAGCTGGAAAAAATATTTTTTGACCGGTCACATTTTTGACCCGGCACCTGGACAGGAAATTTGACGTCATGCTGGTTACATATTGCAACCAAGCCATTAGAACCTGGAAGTTGACTGGGTCAGGAAACATGCGAGGAAGAAACCGACCTAGACGTTTTCAAGTCAAGAGACTAGGACATGAGATGACCTGGAAGTTTTCAAGCCTTGCGTCTAAAGTGGTCTTCAAAACTTCCAACCTAGCCTACTACACCAGGACATGAGATGACCTGGATGTTTGTTGAAGTTCAACCTAGACACAGGCCGGTCCAGAAGACTAGTCAGGCCACAAGATCTGGACATTTTCAAGGTTGCAAGACCTAGATGTTTTCAAGGCTTGTACTTGACCAGGACGTAACATGACCTGGACATTTTCAAGAGATGGAATTGACCTGGACGCTGTCAACAAAGCCTACCAGACCTAGACATTTCTAAGGCGTTGACCAAAGACCAGGACATGAGGTGACCTGGACAACTAAAACGGATAAAGCCGGTTACTTCTTTTGACTTGGAATCAAGCATATTCAATAAAATTGTCAACCAAGCCAACGAGGCCAGGACGTTTTCAAGATCAGGACATGAGATGGCCTGGACGTTCTTTAAAACGATTCCTAAGGTATAAGGCCGGTTAGTCTTATTGACTTGGAAGTTCATTCAAAGGTGATCAAGAAGAAGAAAAGAAAAGCAATAACCATGCATAGAAAAGGACAACCATGCAAACTGAAAGAAGAAACAAGCCGGTAAATTGAAAACCAT